CATCTGCTGCTTTGGTCTCTGACCTCTCACATAGAAAACTCAGAGGGTCAACGCTGCTGCTGACCCTCCTGCAGCTCCTCCGTCCTCACGTTTTCAGCCATTTTATTCCAATCTTAGTGTTTACAAACATCTGAACTTCTGAATGCTGCACAAAAAATAGGTCACAGTCAAAAGCCTCTGCGTTTGATAAACCAGGTCTTTGGCTTGAAGAGCAACCGTGCAGGTCTGTTTGCGCTTTGTATCTAGCTCCATCTAGTGGTCTCCAACAAACTGTTTTATGTATCTCCTTTCATAATCGTCAATTCTGGAGAGCTCAACAACAATACTACTTCCTCACAATAAAAAAAAAAACGCAGAATGTTCAAACAAAGTCTTTTTTTGGCTTATCATGATATTTTTTGCCCTCCCTTTTATATCCTAATCTATAAATCAGGCAATCTTTAATAATTTGTTGATGTGTTTTCAGCAGATGGGACATATATTATATTGGATAAAAATTGTGTGTTGCACGTCTTGATTAATTACATATTTTCCGATGAGTATAACTGAAGCTAACCCTAATGATGATGATTTTTTTTGCTGTAACATGTTGGTTTATGGTGAAGATTTGAGTTCTTAACAGCTAAAGCTCTTTAATGGACCTGTTGAGTCAACTGTGATAGACTCAAGTCAGCCCCCCCACGGGGAATAAGCAGTATTGAAGATGGATGGATCAGAGAAGCCATGACCAGTCTAAAACCTAAATTATTATTTGTCCTGCTTTATTTTTACTTTTGGATAACTGTGTTGTGCATCCAAAACAACCGGTTAACAGGCCTAACAGGTCAAATCAGTGAACTCTGAGTCAAAAGGAATAAGGCTTGTTCATAAAGAGACACAGCATTAAGAATAGGATTTCTTTATTGGTGGATATTAAATACCAATTCTATACAGTAAGTACATAGATCAAAGTTAAAATATAGATCTGTTGAAATAAAATATCTTGACAAATATGTTTACAGAGTAATGCTGACTGCACTGGTGTGTCAAAGTTAACGTTAATAAGACGGACGGTTCCAACAGGAGCTGCCGCTTCTTCATTAGCTGCAGCTTGAGTTTGGGGGGGGGGGGGAGCAGCAATCTCGACTTCTTCTCTGAGGAGGAGAAAATCACAGAGCTCTCACAAGCTCATATTTAATCTACATGCTGGGTCCTGAATAACCGCTCGTCCTTGAAAGTCTGCCTTTTCTCTTTTTTTTCTGGATCACAGACGTTAATGACGGCTGCCCATGAAAGCAATGCTTTTGTGGGTCCCTCGTGTCAGCATTTAAATATTTAAACATTTGACATATCTTCAAATCCTTCATTTAATCGTGGAGTGATAAAAACACACAAACGAAAAACAGCTTCCTTCATTTAAATCGATGCAAACTGGGTTGAGCTTATAAAAAACAAGAATAGTTTGACATTTATGGCATAAAGAATCTAGCATATTATTCAAAAGACAACATGTGTATTTTTCAAGCTGGGCTGATGGAGTGTGCCAAGTGGAGGGATAACCATGCCGTAGCAGTGGAACCGTCCACATGCAAAAAGCTGAAGCCTGGGCTTAAAAATACTGGAACAGACACAAAAATATACTAAAATTATTCCACCTTTGCTCTAAAATGTGAATACTGAAGTGCATTTAATAATTTAAGTAGATAAAAGTATATATTAAGTTACTTTAAAATATACAAATCTTCAACTAAAAGACAAGTAAATACGAATTACTGACTATAAACAAAACTGCTGTATCAAAGACAGTAAGGGATCAAAAACAGAGAACACTTGTAGTATGGGGGTCAAACTTAAGTTCACTCTTCTCCAGTGTATTCAGCCCGGCTGATATACGGATTTAAACTTCGCGTTGGACTGCCTAGCCATCAACCGCCATCCAAAGTCAGCAGTTCCTGTAACGCGTTCAGCTTAAAAACAAGCTGGGGGAGAAGTGTTGAATGTGCTGCGCGGCTGCAAACCAAAAAAATAAAAGTGCCCGTTTCTCAATTTCCACTGTTGAGTCACAACACAGGACTGTTGTGTCAGACCGGCTGCTCATCATGTGCTCAAACATCAGCAGTGAAAGCTGGATTGTTCTTTCAGTGACCCGCCGGGATTCATGAATCACCACGACCGCCACCGTCGTGCGAGTGGGCTCATGTCGGGAAACAAGATCCTCTGTGAGTAGCGGTATTGTCCAAAAACCGGCAGCTCCTCTCTGGCGGCCTCCCCTCCGTATGCCTTGACATCTCCACTAGGGGAGAATAATTCATGTTTCCACACATATTGCTGCTGGGAGAGCTCTGCCGGGTCAATTTTCAGTCCAGGTTTGAGAGTCTCTTCAGCAGCGCTGTCGTCATGGCGACGAGAGGACACGGACCAGCCTCCGACGTCGCTCTTCCTTTAGCTTTTCCCGAGACACGTGCTTTTTCACTTGTTACGATGTCCCTTGAGGTGAGCCCCGGGGCTGGACGAGGAGCTTAGATGTCTCCTGTGGGTCCTCCAGCGGGGTCGGAGGACGAAGTCGTAGTTGTCGGATGTGCACATGGCGTAAAAAACGTTGGCTTTGTCGGGTATGTGGAGCTCTGAAAGGCAAACGAGACTTACATTTTTAAACATTCTCTGCAAATGTTCAATTGAGGAATCAAATTAGGCTGTTGAACTGGGAATATAAACAGAATATAAACGGTTGTTGAAACCCTGTTTTGTGAGCTGGGTGTACAAAGATTATTCACATTGATTTTGCGGTAGAAAAAAACACGCTGGCTTCAGACTGGACCGGCTTCAAATACTTTTACACCTCAAAGAGTTTAAAGCAGAGAGATCAATCCACTCTCAAAAACGTTGAGAAGGGCTCACCTTTCCGGTTGTTGAGCTTCTGGTAGAGGCTGAAGTCGTTGCTCCTGGTGTCCTCCATGTTGTGCTTCTCAAGGGCTCGCTGAACCACCTGAGGCGTGTGGTCCTGGCTGGTCAGCTGAAGAAGAAAACAAACATGGGAAACACAGTTTAAATCCAGTCTACTAAACTTGGAAAACAGCAATAAGAATATTGTATCAAAATACATAACGTCACAATTAAGAATCTATGTTGTGTTTTTTGTTCAAATTGCTCCTGTCACAAAGCAAACATATTATCTATCAAAAGAAGCATTTCAATAGGAGTTATTAAGAAATCAAAACTCGTCTGCTTCCCTTTTGTATAACCAGCTGGACCAGGCCAGCCGGCACCGGTCGGCTGACCTTTAAAGCGTGCGTGCCGGGGAGCGCTAAACATACCAGTATGCTTTTGTAGACGTTTCCATTGCTGACACACTCCACGCTGACCCTGATGATGCACAGGTCGGCGATCTGTTTGTTGTAGACGGGCTGCACCGTCTGCGGGGAGCCGCCGGACGACTCTGGGCTCAGAGACGGGGAGCTGAGGTCCGGCTGCGAGGAGCTGCAGGACGAGCTGGAGAGGCTCGGCGAGGAGCAGGACATGGAGGAGAAGTCCTCCGCCACGTTGTGCAGGGAGCCTGAGAGAGACTGGAGGGGGAAAGAGGAGGAGGGGGGGGGGACGTGATTACTGTGCATTTCACCGTGCGTCTGTGTGGCTGCAGAATGCTCCGGCCCGTACCTTGAACTTGAGGCGGAGGGGGTAGGGTTGCGGGGCGGAGAGCTCCTCCATGTCTGAACTGCTGGAGCCGGAGGAAGAGACGCTGATCTGATCGGCGTGGGCCTTCCTGAGCGAGCTCTCGCTGCATGTTCGCAACCTGAACGCACAAATTTTTCAATTAAATAAGCATTAAAAAAAAAAAAACAATAGCCAAAAACACAGTTTGATATCATTGTTACAAATGCATGCACGTTCCTCTCAGTTCACAAGAAAATGGTCTTTTCTTTGAACTCTCAAAGGTGGAGAACAATTCCTATTAACTTCCAACAGAGTGGCTCGGAGTAAAGAACAGGGTTGAGTTTTCAAACATTGAGCAATGCTGAATATTTCTTCACCAGCCTTTCAATAACTGACTTAATTGTAAATCAGTCTGGGTTAAGCATAATGAGGTGGGTACACTCAACCAAGGCTGTCCCCGTTCTAAAAAGAATAGGACATCCTGTGTGCTTCCTCTGACCCTTCATCTGGATGTTACAAATGATCAGCAGCAAAAATCCACCCTTGGGCTGTGAGGTTTGGTTTTTTACATCAAAGTTTCTTCTTAAAAAGGAGAACACTTAAGTACGTTGACAGCACACCCACAGTAAACCATCACAAAAGCAACCGAGAAGAAGATAATCATTAACTCCAGCGAGATGCTGTGTAAACACGGCAAACAATAAACCTATGAATCATGCCGACTGTACAGGGCAGGGTGCAGCTCTGAATCCTGGCTTTGGAAACTTACGAGGCCAGCTTCTTAGTGAGGAGCCGGCTGCTCCATGAGCAGGGGGAGCTGGGGCAGGGATCGACGGGGGGCTCCAGGTCTCGAGATAGCTCGTAGCTGCGGGAAAATGACAGACTGGGTGAGACGCGGTGGGCCGGTTTCTTCACCGGTGTGGCGTTGGGCGTGGGTTACCTCTCCTGGTCGGTGAGCAGCGTGCGGCCCTGCAGCCAGGCGGTGATGCGGGGGCTGTGCGGGAGGCCGTAGTGCGAACAGAAAGCCTGCAGCTGGCGGATCTGAGACAGAATCTCGAACTCCTGCAATGTGACCCAATAAAACACAAATGTAGCCATGAAAACTAAAAAAGGAGATAATGGGGAAGGGCAATATTCAAAACAGGTGTGCAGAAAGGCCTCTGCGTGGGGCGCCCCCACACCTACCCTTCTGCGCTTCTCAAAGTTGATGAGCCCGCCCTGTGAACGGTGGAAATACGAACAGTTATATTGGGTCATAAATCCACAGTGCCATAAAGAACAAACGGACACGGATCTCACCCCCACGGTGTCGGTCAGGGCCGTGTCCAGCATGGTGAGGACGGTCAGGTAGGTGCCCAGGTAGGGGACCACGCCACTGCCAAAGTTCTACGGGGGAAAAGCAAAGTCATTTTTACTTAAACTGACAATTTATTTATCAGGATCTCCCACATGTTTCATGGGAAATTCCTGTTTTAGCTTCATTCTTAAAGGAAGGCAGGAATTTCTGCAGTCTGGTGTATGTCAGCAAAAAAACAAAAACAAATATAGACACAGATGTGAATAGAGCAGTTACTAATTCAAATAGACTGGATATGGGGGGTATAAAACATGCCACACGCTGCCCCACCTTCACAAAGTAAACTAATGAACTGTGGGAAACGCTGTTCGGGTTTTTAAACCTCTACAGGGAAAACTTTCAGCTGCGTGTATGTGGCAAGTGAAAGGCTTTCCACTAAAAAGGAACAATTTGAAATAAAAGTAGGGACTTCTCAAATTTTTTTTAAAAACAACAAAAAAAGAAGACATGAATTACAGGAAGTGGAATCGATGATGCCTTCCACTTTCGGGCACCCGGCACTGCTGACACACTCGCTTTATTTAAAGAGATCCAAAGTGAGCTAAAAAAGGGAACCAAAGAGGTATTTTCCAAATAAAATGCTGAGTATCCTTTTTCCCATTTGACTGTCCCATCTCCACAGAGTTGGCAGCAGCAGCCAGGACACAGTCAGTCAAATCAAATTCAGAGTTAATGCGAGACGACAACAAGCAGATGAGTTATATAAGCGTTCTTTTCAGGGTCCAGCTCCTCCTCACAGGGTGCTGCGGGTGTGGGGAGGTTCACGCTCAGTTAATGCATGCAGTAATTGTCGTACCGGAGGAACATCAGACAGTACGTCCTCAGTACACCATCCGCCAGCACCGCCGCCCACATGGCCATTCATTTGGAGCTTTATAGGTCACTTACAATGGGTCTCTCTCTTTTTGTGCCGGGGCCGAACGCCCTATCGCTAACTACACATTTCTATCAGGTTATCACTGCGAACGCCCCAAATAAGAAAGGAGAGCTCTGGTGATCTTAAAAAGCTCAGCGAATGGGTACACAAAGAAAACAAAAAAGGCCCGGAGACAGAAAGTACGCGGCACCAAACGAAGATATTTAGATATCAAGTTTCAGCTTGCAAACAAATCTAGGCGTTCTTGTACCTCTAAACGTTAATTTTAAACGTTCAGATTTAGATTAACACTTTATATTTGGGCTCTTTCGTCTTCAAATGTGTTTAATGTGAGGGGATATGGAAAATTATTTTTTAAAAATTGTAGGCTACAACTAACAAAATGTTCAGATTTGGGGTCCCAGGGCTAACAGTTAACCACTGTGACTTGTGAGGAAAGTGTGGAAAAGACAGACAGGTTTATTTCTTGTTTTTTTGTTTTTGTTTTTTGTACTTGCAGCATAAACTCACCTCCGCTAGAATCTCCTTGCTGGTCAGCACACAGTTCTCATCAGGGAAAGTCTCACACAGGTGGTCGAACGCCGTTATGCTTTCTCTGTAATAAAAAAAACAATATGAATGAATCTTGACAGATCCTAATATTTGTGACGAGTAAAAAAAAAAAAACAACAAAAAGCATGGGGTGTCCTGATCCATCTGCTGACCTGCTGACTGCGGCCCAGGTCTTCTTGAGGCGGTACACGGCGTTGGACTGCAGGGCTGAGAGGATGGCCCTTAGAGAGGAGAAGTTCTTCAGCTGTCTGCACTCCTGCCGAGACACAAACCGACGTTTTAGGGACGTGTGCGCCGCCACGGGGAACGTTTCCCGGAGCGCCCGCCTGCTCCCCGGCCCCCCCCACACCTGCGCGACGGCGATCCACCTCTCGATGAGGCGCGCCCTGGACGCCGGGCTGCTGTGGAGGCAGCGGGGCGAGGCCGGCGCCGAGGGGGGGTACGGGAAGGCGGCGGCCGAGCCCGGCGAGGAGACGGGGGAGGAGGCGGCGGGGCCGGGGGGGGCGGGGCACAGCAGCGAGGTGATGACGCGGTTGGTGACGGCGTTGAACTGGGAGATGGTGGCGCGGACGCTGGGCGCCAGGTTCCGGTTCTCCTTCTTGTCCCGCTGGGACCAGACGCAGCCCAGGCAGTGGAAGGGCACCACTCTGACGAAGAGTTCCTGTTGGGCAGTCGGGCATAAAAGTTACCGGGGGGGCTATTACAACCATCACCTAGCACACGGCTTTAGCAGATATTTGCGGAGAATAAAAAAAACCTACAGCGTCCAGTCTGGTGAGCTGCTCGGCCACGTCTCTGGCCGGGAAGTCCAGGAAGTCCTTGGTGGGCGCGTCTTCTCCGTCCTCCTGGTCACTCTGCTCCTGCGGCCGCGGCTCTGACGCAGAGAGGCTGCAATCTGTCAAAGCCAGCCATAAAAGACATCAGGACTTCCTGCTGAGCTGACGCAGCACAAAACACTGCAGCGGCATTTCTGACTGTGTGAACGTTTTGTTGGCCAGCGGCCACCAAAAACCAACCATTAAAAAACAACGTCACCGCACTAAAACTGCCACAAAAAATAAATAAATTACTCTCACTCTCAAAAACAAAAATATGGTTTAATCATCTGCTTCCAACCCCATGTTGGCCATCGTGTTCGTGATCGTATCCTTTTTTTTACCCCCCACCTTTACCTTGTTCCTGAAACCTCTTGAGGAGGTTGTCGGCAGCCTGGGCCAGACGTCTGAAGCAGAGCCGGCGATGCAAATGGACGCGCAGCTTCCGGAGAGCCTGGTACACCGGCGGCTCCAGGAAGTCCTCCTCGTACTCTTCCAGCCACAGCCGGATCACGGGGAACAAAGGACTAAAGACGTGAGGAGAAACGTTAAGCTTAGTGTCTCAGATAGTGTCTCAGTTTAACCATCAGCTTTTCCTCCGCGCTGGACTCACCTGCGAGGGCACACAGCGTTGTCCAGGTTGGTGAGTGATTCATTTCTGTGGAGGAAAAAGGAAAAGAAGTCACACAACGGCTCCGCTGAATATTGAAAGATTGTCCGAGTGGGGACAGAACACGTCCTGTAAACAATTCAGACCCGAAGCTGAACCCTCCGAGCTGCTCATCCTGTGGAAGTATCCCTCAGCAGCCAGAGTCCCCGAAGAGCCGCCATGGCCTTGGTACGTTGTCATAAAACGGGTGTAACTCCCCCCAAAAAAGTACATAGCAACTGAAGAACGGAGAAAAGTCATTGGTCGGGCACCTTCATGCATTTCTGTTACAGGGTTCTGACATTTACAGAACCAAAAGGTGGCACAAAGATCTAAAAGCTAGAAATGAAGTGCGGAAAAAGAATTTTAAACCCTTTTAGAAAACATTGCAACAGAAACAAAAAGAACACCCTGTGCTAGAACTGCAGCGTTAAGGGCGGGAAAGCACACATATGGCCTCTACGTTTTTTTTATTTATTTTTTTTAAACCAAAACCCACGAGAAAAACCTGCTGCCACCAGCACAGCTCGTATACGGGCGAGTGTTTGACGAATAATACATCAGCTCCCCGATGAACGCGTGCTAAACGGGTTTATTTCAACCAACCAGGACTCTTCCAGGAGCTGGTAGCCAAAGGCCGAGTACCGTCTCCAAACTTGGAACGACTTCTGCAGGTGTTTCCTGAGTGAAAAGAGATCTGGTCGGCGCCAAAGCCCTGCTGGGTGTGGCAGGAGTTGCCATGACAACGTTCAATAGCAGCAAAGCTCGGGGACTGCTTTGTTTAGCTGGTGACGACCATACCCGTCATAGAAACCCGACCCATGCCAGCCGAGGCTTCGTCTTTGAATAGATAATGGCGCATTAAGGGGGGGGGGGGGGGGGGGTTAAACTGCTGTCTTCTTTGGAAATTGACTTGTGCATCTGACAGGTTGTAAAAGCAGCTGACGCATGTGCTCCGCTCGCACCTGAACGCGGTGCCAACCAAAAGTAGGACGCCGGAGTGCCACAAATCAAAGCCAGGAAGCAAATATCAAAGCTCTGACAGGGAGAGGGATCAGGGCGCATTCAACCGGCTTCACTTTTCGGCTTTGGGAGCATAAAAAACCGAGAGCTAAAACTATTCTGGTTAGCTTAACACGAGTCCAGCTTCCTTAGAAAACCAGGGTCTGAACATACAGTACCCTCCACAATTATTGGCACCCCTGTTTAAGATATGGTTGAGGACTTCTAAAAATGATCCTTTCTTTTTTAAACAACATAGAACCTTGAAAATATATTTAAAGGAAATCAATTACATTTTTCAGTGGAATTATTAGGGGTGCCAATAATTGTGGGAAATGTGATTTCATATTTTTTATTTTCTAAATGTGTGATTTTATTGTTACCACTAAAGTAATCTACTTAAATAAAAGGTTGGATTTTTCTCTTTTTTTTGCATTTGGGTTCTATGTTGTTTTAAAAAAAGGAACATTTTTAGAAGTCCTCAACCACATCTAAAATAGGTGCCAATAATTATGGAGGGCACTGTATCATTCACAATTGACTCCAATTGGATTTCCGTACACGTCTTCCTCCGAATGTTATGTCTAAAAGCACAGATCGTTCTGAATCAGAAAGCAGAGGTGATCTCACATGTGGGCTCGCCGACCGCCTGGCTGCACCCGCATGTTTTTTTTTTGTTACCACTCGTCTCGGCCCAGCAAAGCGGGCGGCCTCTCACCTCTGGAACAGCAGCTCGATGAGGGTGCTGGAGCAGGTGAAGGCCCGGTAGGTGGACAGGAACACGCGGATGAAGTCCGGCTCCCTGCGCTCGGGGTCCAGCAGGTGGCTGACCAGGCGCTCCAGGGTGGCGGCCTTCAGCCGGCGCACCTTCACCGTGTGGTACTGCACGCAGCCGAGGGCCGGGGGGGCCACCTCCGGGGGGCCGGCGCCCGGCGGGGCGGGCTCCCGGCGCAGGGTGATGCCGAACACGGCGCCGTCCTCCTCCTCCTCGCCCCACTCCTGAACCGGGTCCTGCAGGGGGGAGATCCAAAGCCATGATCCAAAACCGTCACCCAAATACACGACTCTGCTCCCCTGCCTGTGATACAGCAGCAACCCCCAAATTAAAATAAAAAAAAGATACTTTCTGTGGAGCTACCGGATAATCCCTTCAACTAAGATGATCAAATGTAAAGAAAAACTCAAAAAAAGGTCAGATCTGATATTGACAGCTCTCAGACCCGGTTTTAACTTAGTCAGTGACAAACAGCTGATGACTGAACTAAGAGGCATTCACTGACACACACATTCCCTCACACACTCTCAACACAGAGACTAATCACACAACTATGACAAATCTTTAACATAGAGTGATAACAGTCATGCTTTTTCCATGTTGTCGCTTAGTAACTGTTCAGTTTAGTATCGATGGCAACAAGGAAACAGAACAGAAAACAATAAAAATAATTAAATAAATAAATTAAAATAAATAAATTAAATAACGTCTGCAAAAATATCAGAATTAATACATGACCCAGCGAGACATAGAACCATCTTTCACTTAATTATTTTGAAGACGCGTTCTTTTGTTTTTTTTTAACAACAATCTCATAGTTTTTGCATAAATAGAAGCCAATGCGAGAGCAGCACTTCCAGTGGGAATCACGAATCTGTACAGGTAGTTTCGGAGTAATTTAGCAGTCGTGTCGCAAACCAAGCAAAAAGCATGTTTGGAAAAGGGGCTCGTGTCAGCTGACAGAAACCCGCGTGCACCCGGCTGAGAGTCCCAGTCCTGTTTGCCCGGGCGAGCAGAAACAGAGCAGCTCTAACGTCCACAGATCATTCAACCTACCATCGACAGATGCCATTTGCCCATCTTTCTCCGGCTGGGGAAAAAAAAACGCTTTTAATTCCAGTTGTTTTAGTGGAGACGCAGCGCAGCCGGCAGAAGACTAAGGATTTAGTTCCGTTCTCCGACAGTTTTCCACTCTTTGAAACACGCCGGAAACTTTCATTGTCCACAATTACTGGAGCCAAGTGGTAGGAAAGAGAGAGGGAGAGAGAAGGAGAGGATGTTCCTGATTTGTGAGTGGCGCAGCTGCGTCCTGACATCAGGGAAGAGGCAAAGGGGCGGAGCCAACAACCAGGTGTGGGCGGAGCCTCGACTGTGGACCAATGGGCGCGCAGAGGTAAATAACAGCTGAGACAACAATGCGGGATTTTGCATATTCGAGGAGGGCTTGAATGTAGTTGTTGATACTGCCCCTACTGTCTCTGTTTGTAGTTTGATACTGAGAGCCAGTATTGTTAGTACAAGTCACACCAAGTATCCCAGGTAAAAAATACCCTACTGGGAAAATCTGTTCGATTGTGTTATTGTGGCTTCATAAAATACAACCAAATTACTGGTGTATGCGCCTTTCTTAAACTAATGTACAAGTTGAATGGTCAACAAATTTTAATTAGTTGTTTTTACCGTTAAAGGGCTTTACCAACAGAAATCCAACACCTGACCCTGAAACTAAATGTATCATATTGTCATTGTGTACTAAAAAAAGAGAAATTCAAGCTCCGAGAAAAGTTCCTATTTTTTTCCCACTTTGGAATTATTCCTTACCCGTTTTTACACAATGGGGAAACTTTTCTCTATGACAAAATGCAGGAGGAAAAGATATATACGGGCAAGTGTTTGGCAGATATCATATCAGGCTTTTTGAGGCTAAAAGCTGCTCTCTGCAACGTGTTTAAGGGGCATTTAGTGACCCTGTAACAGCAAAATTCAGCTCCTTAAACAAAGGAACCTTTAAATCCTTAAATATGGGCCACATAATGAAGGGCTTTACAAGCTACATGCCAGGCGTACGAGTAAAAAGTTCCAGTAAAGAATGCAAACAACGGCACATTCATACTCAAAGTACATGAAATTCCCAAACAAATCAGCTGACACATTGAAAAGCGTAAAGTTCATTGAAAAGAAAAAGCAAAAACAACTTTTGGTAACTTGTTTGTTGATTCCCAATCATTTACTTCCCCATTTTATGCCAGCATTTCCTAAAAAAGAAAGCAGCTTTTACAGAAAATGCTGTGCCTGACAGTCATCATCTCCTCACGACAGAGAACTGAAAAAACATCAATTTCAGTCCATGGGTCCGCAATAGAAACTGGGAAGTGTGAAGGTCTAATAGTCTATGTATTAGAGACACACACACATCATGTTATTGTTGCTTCATATCTATGCATGTTTGAGATGGTTATGGCATCTTAAAATGCTACTGAGTTACTGGATTCCAGCATTTCTCATTTTTCAACAGAAAAAAAAAAGTTTACAAACTGAACAATTTAACCAAAATGATAAGTTAAGGCGATGTCAGACCGGACTTTCCAGGAGTCCAGCACCTCCAGAAGAGGAGTCGGTCCCAAAAGAATCTAGTCAGGACGCTTTTCTCTCATCGGCCTGCATCACTGCCCATGATGTCAGGTGGAATACCAGCGAGGACAGGTGCGGTCTGATTCTTAACAGACAGGTTTGAGAATTCAGGGAAGGAAATCACTAGACTGGACTCCGAATGCGGAAAAACTTTCACACGTTAGGACACAAAGTCACCTAAAAAGGAAACCAGCGACTAGCCCGAGCGGCTCCAACACCTTTAATCAGGCTATCCGCTGCTCGTTAAATCTGAAAGGAAAGAATGATCTTTTTGTTTGTCTAATGAGTTCCCGACTCTCTTCTGTTCCTCCGACCAACACAACATCTCTACAATGGGCCGAACAAAAGAGTGGGGAAACAGTGGCAGGAGGAGGCTCAATTAGTTGGAATTACCCACATGGCTGGGTGATGAGGTGGCAGGCGGGTGAGTGGAAACGTGACATCAGTGATTGTTCAGGGTTTTTTTGCACAAAAAAAAAGGAGATGTTATCAGAAAGTTAATTTAAGGAAGAAATAGATAGCAATTTGACACACTTCCTGGAAAGTCAGCTGAAATCCAGTTCCTTCTCATTGTTACTAAAAGAGCAGCTCGTGCTGATGACCATGGGAGCCAAAAAACACCAGTGAGAACTGTGGGATTCCCACTATAAAAAAAATTTAATATAAGAAAGATGCACGGCGCAAACATCAGACACCAGCAGCCAAACCAGCCCTCACAGTCTATCGAATCCAGCCCGACAGGACAAACATTAATTCCTCCACAAATAACAGGAAAAAAAATCTCCTGTATAAAAAACAGTGACAACCAGTTCTTTCTCTTTGACTAATTAGAACAGTTCTGGTTCTCTAATTCATGCATGAGAGTTGGGGGGGGGGACTTCTTTTGTTTCTGGATCCAATGGTCTCTGAGAACCTGTACGTGGCATTAACCACATTAATCGGCCACAACATTTTATTGACTGACCAATTTACAGGGAAAATAAACCCTGATAAAGAGCAGCTTTGGGCATGGATGCACTCCAGTTCTGGTAGGTTGGTGGGACAAATCAAAGATTTTTGACGACTTCTAAACAGAATAACAGACCGTTCCAACTAAACCGTCAAACATATGGAAAAACTTATATTCCAACAAAAGTCACACAGACATGATAAAAAAAATGTAAAAATACAAGTTTTCCCCTTACCATAGAGTATTAAGGTTATGGTTTAAAAAACAGGAGTACTGATGTATGCATAAATCTTGTTTTCTTTTCTCACCTCATACTGTCCATCAATGTCCAACATCTGGAAGCTCCTCAGCCACACGCCGGGCTCCGTGTCCGTGTGGACGCCCCCACAGGGGCTGGACCTGAGCAGCAGCAGCCTCTTCATCCGGCCCACCCGGCCGCGGAGGCCCCCGGCCTCCCTCCCATCCCCGCTTCCACACACGGGGAGAACGGTCCTCATCTCCAGCTCCGGTTTCCGTCACGATACCGGCCCACGCGCCTCACAGGGTCTCTCCCACACCTGCTGCCTCATCTGAGCGAGGGCGGAGGACCAGGAGACAGACGGGTGTTACAAACACGGCAGCCATCAAAGGTGGGCTCCAAATGTAGACATATAGGAAAGATAGAGTCCTAAAAAGAGATGCCTTATGATGAATAGAAATAAAAACAAACTGGTTACTGTTGGGAGCTGCATTGAACAGTGTAGTGAATTGTGGTAGTTAATTCTCCTCATTAAAAATAAGAATAAATTCCTTTCTAAACCGGAGAGAACATGCACACATTAGTGTGAAAAAACAAACAGGCATATTTTGGGGGGATAAATACAGTATGAATTTATCCAAGATTGTAGTCAGATTTTCTGCTGCTTTAAATGTTTGTTTCTCTTCTGTTTCTGCATAAGGAGGCACAAAATGGCCATAAAATATAGTCAGGATTAGGCTTTCCCTTGAATATGAGGACAAATATAAGAAATTCAACTCACAGCATGAAAAAAAATCCTAATATTTTAAAAGAATACAGTCAAACACACAAAAAGGTAGAAAGGCACAGTCACTTAACTGTAAATCTGCTTGTCCTGACTCCTGATGTCCATGTTCAGAGCTCTAATAATCCAGCCAGAATATTCATGTAGCGCCTGAGTGAAGCTTGGAGGAAGAAACTCTGGCATTTATCTCTGAAGACTGATTGTTCATTGTGTCTGTGGGTGGACGGTGCCCTGCGCATGTGTGTGTTTGCGGGGGAACGGCGTTCCCCGCCTCCTCCTGTTTGGCTGTCCTCTGTAATACGTGTAATTACGGCCCATGTTAATTGCGCCTCACGATTCCGATCCTTCTGGCTCACTGAGTTCCCACTCCTGCGTGGGTGGAGACACTGACCCCGGGGCCCACGGGGTCCTCAGTTTGGATGACGACGTGTCACCTGTCAGGTGTGGATCTGAGAGTGGTGGGTTTCCTCCCCTGATGTGGATGACTTACCTGGGAGGGGATTTCTAAGCGCACGGGTCCATGTCTAAGTGGAAAGCTTTATGTGAAGAAAAAACTGAAGCTCGCTGTTTCTGGCAGAGACTCAGTCTGTGCAGCAGGCAGAGCAGAGCCGCCTCCTCTCAGGGATTGGCTGATCACAAACACCAAAACCACGCGTGGATCTGTGCGCGATCAGGCTCTGCGTGATTCAAGCTGACGAGTTTCAGATTTGACAGAGAATAACAAAAAAATTCTACTTGGGATCACAAAAAGCTAAATTTTCCCATAAATAACTGGCCTAATTCACTCTAATATTTTCTATAAATAACAACAATTTAAAAAAATTCACTCATTGGTTGTTTGTATAGAAAATACAAAAACTAAAAACACATCCCACGCCCAATCAGATTTATAAAAATAGTTCCAGTCATAATTGATGTCAGTGCAGTTTTTTTTAGCAGGCTGATTACAGTCATTAGCTTTACTGAAATGTAGATTAACACAGACAACTGGGGACAGAGTCTAAATTTAGAAAAAAGAACAAAACATGACTCATGCTAAAGAAGGCATCCAAACACAGCTGCTCCTATTCTAGCCTTTCCTGGAAGACACACACACATGCGCGCACACACACACACGCACACACACACACAGAGTCAAACACAAAGGAAAGCCACTAAAAGTTGCCTGTCTGGTTGCGCTGCTCGGTCACTGCTGCTGTCGAGTACGTGCCACAAAATTCCTTTGACACTGAGTGAAACTCTGATGATTTCTTAAGATTTTAAAGTTCAGCCGTGAGCAAAATCTGATTGAAAAAAAAGCAAACGGAGTCAAAGAAGCAGAGTATCGTCTTTTATTAAAATTGCAGAGTGAGGTCACGGTGGATCTGGATGTGTGTCAGAGGCACACAGGCCGGGTGCGTCACCAGTGTTGGCTTTCAGGACAACGCACAATGGACAGGTTTCGATCGGCACGACAATGACAATAAAAAAACAATTGGGACGAGACGCCAAAGTGTCTCAGAGAGCCGCTCTCTGTCAGAGGAGTAAGAGGCCTTTTCCTGAACTGCTTCAGAAGCTCCCAGAGGCCGGGAGGGAAATGTTAATGGAGCAGAGGTGGGGATCCCTGTGTTGGAGCAACACCTGACACAGGACATCGCTGTTGTCCAAACAAACCCACCGACACGAGACAGAAACGCAGTTCACTCAGTTCGTGGATGTCAGCTAATAATAAACCCTTCTCCTGTCAGCCTCACAGCATAAGAGTCGCATTCTTCCTGGCATTTTAGGGAGTTTATGGTGATTCATTTCATTAGATAATCAGACTTAATTGGAGGATTAAACTCATACAAAAGAGGAAGCCATGATGGGTTATTCGCCATCTTAGAGAAAGACCATCAGTTTCTTTGATCAGAGGATTTATTTCCCCCCCTTCTTCAGATTATTCACAACAAAAACTTGTCGGATCAGAATTTGCTGCCCTTTTTCTTCCAGGTCTTCTTCTTGGAGTGGGAGTCGATGATCATTTGAGACTGGCGCTTCAGAGCCTCCCGTGAGATCACGTCCGCCTCGTCCTCTTCGCTCTCGTCCTCTGTGGCAGAAGGAGCCAACAAACACCGGTTCAGAGGGTGTGTGTGTGTGTGTGTGTGTGTGTGTGTGTGTGTGTGTGTGTGTGTTTTCCAGCTGTTCCGGGGGCCACCACTCACCGTCGTTGAACGGAGTCTGGTCCTCGGGGAGCTGGACGTGGGTGTTGTACTCCGGCAGTTTGCCCTCAATCCGGACATAAAACTGCTCAGAGAAACGAAAAGTCAGTCACGCAACGCAAACAGAAAAAGGACTTCATCGTATTGATTACCAACGTCTGAAATACACAAATTCTGTCAAATCTGCCCTTTCATGAGCTAAAAAAAACAGAGGGTGATTTTTATCAAAGGATTCACTTTACAGCATTTAAAGAATCATAAAGGTATACAAAAGTATTCAGGGGACCATCTATGTTATCTGAGTGTGTTTTGATTGGTTGAATATGTAAGTGTTAATGTAATAGTTAATGTTTGCGTCTGATAGGATCTGTTTCAGATATTTATGGCATCAGGTAAATGCTTAATTTAAACTATTCTAACACCAACTAAGCTTGTAATTCAATATTTGGTATAATATCTGTAGATATCGATTTTCACAGAATATCGGTCCAAATGTCATGAATTGATTAGTTAGTTAGAGACCATCTGTCAACATCTGCCAGGATGACCTCATCTAGAGATAATGACCCTAAAAAGCCCTGCCCCTACGGGAAAGTTCACCTGTTTTCACCGTCATGAGATCATCGTGATGGTCTGCCAGTGCACTTCACAGACTCAAAACAAGTTCCTTCAGCCTAATATTCATGTTTCTGACCCAGATCCTGTATTCATGTTTTTCTAAAAGCATTTTCTCACCTCGTCTTCGTCCATCTCCTTAACGAGAGCAGCCAGATCCTTCCCTTCAAGCTCCTTGTGTAATGACTGTAATTTCAGCTCACACTGGGCCATGAGCTCCACCACAAACTCATCTGAGTTTGGATTCACTCCAGTAACGGGGTCCTTGCTCTGCGGGAGGATTTGAAGTCCGAAGTTAAAGGATTTATTAAAGGAAACTATGTTTAAGCCCAATAAAATCATGAGTGAGTAGAAGAGAAATCATTAAGAAATAAAAGCAGTTTTTTCATATACCAGTGTAATGTGTTGAAGTTTCTCTGCGAGGTGCTCCACTCCAGCTCGGACGGTGCCGAGGGTCTTCCCCAGCCAGTCGAGACGCTCTTTGGCTGCATCACACCTCTGCTGCTGAGCCTGCAGCTGATGCTCGCACTCCTCCAGCATCTGCTGATCACTAACGGGAGCACAGAGCAAAGCGGAGGCTCGAAAAGCAAATATGGGTCCTTTCAACAGGACCGGGAAAAAAAGGAGGGTTATCTCACCTGGAGATTTTCGTCTCTCCAGAATATTTCATTTCCTCAAACTCTTGGTGGAGAGTCTGGCTCTGCTGCTTCAGCTTCAACAGGGCCTCCTCGTTCTCCTCCTTCAGCTTCTCCAGATGTTGATGCGTGTCCTTCTGAGAGACGAAGCGCTCCACTATCTCCTAAACAGGCGAAAGGTGGAATGAACCAATCAGGCAGTCTGACAGCACATGGAGAGGCGCCTCTTTTCTCCCGTCCGCACCTGTATGTCTGTGACCCCGGTGGCGTCTTTGATGCGCCTGAAGGCCTCCTCAAACGTTGAGATGGCTTTCTCCTCTTCGACCGCCATCCTGGTGGTGCTGCGCTGGGCCTCGCTGCTCAGCTCGTCCGGCTGCATGGCCGCTCTCTGAACCTGTACAAAATGACTCAATTTTTTACTTCACAATATCGAACCAGAGACATCACAGTAATGAGGCTTTCATATTATTTGTCCGGCTTCCTGTGGGACTGTTCAAAGACAGCGTATCTCACCCTTCTATCTACTTTTTCCGCATGGGCCTTGCACTCCACAACCTTCTTCCTGTAGGTTGCTATTATCCGCTCTCTCTCCTTTCGCTCCTTGAAAAGCAGCTCCTCCTGCAGCTGTAACTCGGCCTGATGGAGAAGGTGAGTGACAACTGTGAGCCCAGCAGCCGTGGGAATGACCGAGCCGTCTAGTGGCCCCTCAACAGATCACCTTGGCAGCTTCTCTGGAGAGCTGGGCGTCGTTATTCATGAGCTGCAGGCTGTGAAGCTCCTCTCTTTGCTTCAGGATTTCTGCCTCAAGACTGTCGAGCTGCCCTTGGAATGTCAGACTCTCGTCCTGAAGGAATAAAGGTGGAAATGCAATGAAAGGGGAAATTGAAATTGAAAGTGTGTGGATATACGTGACAAAGGTACTCAACTGTCTCTTCACCTCAAAAGCCTGAAGTATGACTGATGGCTGAATACAGTTATCAGTGAAAAACACAATTTGGTTGGCACGCTGTCTAAATAATAAATCTTTTAAAGCTCTTGCATCCCTGATCTATGACTCAGTTCCCAAATGAGTGTTTCCACAGAATCAACAGGCAATAAAAATCAAAATGCGATGACATGTAAAAACAAATAATCAGTGTTTGACAGATGATAGATCTGTTTTTTTCTGGTTGGTTTTTTTACGTTCTAAACATGGTGCTATGGGCATCCCGGTTGTTATTGCCAAACAATCCTTAATAAAAGGACAAAAGATAAAAACAAATTGTTACGGAGTGGAAATCACTAATTGAAAACATTGATGTGCTAATGATGCTAATGATGTGCTAATAATCTGTTGGGTTTTCCGAGTCACGAATAGAACGAGCAGTTTCTGTTTTGTTGCTCTGTTTACGGACACTTCTCTGCTTTTTATTCACAGGCCCTAATAGTTTTAACTTATTAGCCAGAGCTAAAAAAAAAAAAGAGGTCTTGTCCTTAAACTGCATTTATGATTGGGTAAAGACAGAGTAAAGAAAAGTGAAGATAAGAAGCAATTGATCTTATGTGAACATCACATAAAGAGTTGGAGCACAAAAGAGGAAAACCTGCCTCAGGGCAAATGACTAACAGATTGTGTACAAAGCAGTAACCATGCATGGGTGTGTTCGTTCTCATGCAGCTAATACAGAGTTACATTATCCACGGTGAAACACAATGATATGACAACAAAGTACATTATCGTGGGAAAATAACATAGAAAATATAATCCATTACAGGAAACAACCAAACAATCTTCTAATATGTTTCTAAAAAAAAGTAACTTCAGCTTGGAGGGCAAACCGTGTCTACCTGTAAGTGGCTTTTTAGTTTGAGATAGTACATCATGATGTTTTCAGCTTCCTTGCACTTGAACTGGGTTTTCTCGAGACTGTTCTCCAGTGAGCGCAGTTTCTGAGGACAAGAAGCAGGAAGTGTAGACACAGAGCAGTTAGTGTAGTTAAATAAAGCAAGCAGAAATGGAAAGGACACAGGGATGGACATACCATGGCATCTTCCTCTTTTTTCAGAGTGCGCGGCCCAGCGGACTTTGCTCTGCTGACTTCTTTGGGCTTCATTCGCTCATATTCCACCTTCAGATCGTCCAGGCGCCGCTGATAGGTTTGGGTGGTGTGTTTGAGAGCATTGAGGCGCTTTGTTTTAGCTAGGACCTTTTGGTCGAGCGTTGAGAGGGCTTTCTGAGAACAGCAAGAGAAAAAGGCTCTTTTTTTATGTGCAGCCAAAGAAAAAAGTCTCATTGTGAGGTAATAATATATATGAATTTCATCTTGGTTTTCATAAAATAAATTTGGACATGGTGTAATATGTAGCAACTTGTTCATCTGAGGTTGTGCTTACCTAATTCTATGATCTGGTGAGGCCAGAATATGTTTTTATTATAATTTTCTGATACAATAAAAACTGAAATCTGAAGGCTGTGATAATGAAAATAGCCACTTCGGCCTCTCACCTTTCCTGACATGTTGCGAAAGGCATCCTTCTCCATGCCTCTGTTATGAAAGGCAGCTCTAATAACGTGTTCATCCCCCTGTTAGGCGACACAAATTCAGTAGGACACCAGCAAAGCACCAATGGTGACTGTCATCCAGTTGACTGTGATCAGTGATACGTTTTTATAATGTGGTGAAGAGATTGGCCATATTAGAGACGACCAGTACGTGTGACTTACAGCCTTCACTTCTGCCAGGTGTCTGTGCAGCCTCTTGTTGTCCAGCCTCATCTGGCGGATGGCCTCTTTGTTTTTGCGGATGGTGGACTGAGAGCTCTCATAATGTGCAGTTCTGTCGCCCTCTAGTGGACACATTTAACCACTGCATCAACACTGGACAAGGATATCCGCGACTAACTTCACGTTTGTTGGCCTATAAATAGCCCCAAATAACATACTGAAACATATCACGTGAGAGTAATCTTGGTATCTCTCAGTATGGACCATTAGCATTAGCTCTATATGAGAGCTCATATTACTAAGAAACGGACTTACCAAGCAGTTGGATTTTACGCTGGAGTTCGGTTATTTGGTCGTGAAGCGGGAGTTTAAAGGAGTCCTCGGTGAACGGCATTTCTTTGCTGTGGTACTGTTACCATTCAGGGAAAATGTGCCTCCGGTCCGCTTTAGCTCGGCCCAACCGAAGACCTCTGGTAGCCCTGGGCTACGGCGTTGCTTGGCAACGTGTACACTAACGCCAAACGTACGTCAGTAGTAAAATAAATATAGAAATTTACTCTCAATTACAAAATAACATCATATATATAAAAGCTCACAGTCACATATTTGTATGTATGTATGTATGTATGTATGTATGTATGTATGTATGTATGT